AACTATAATCTGCTATACAAATTGTGCGACTTATGCATATACCATTCATAAACTTATCTCAATCCAAGATATAGCCAAATTAATAATGGGTAATATGGATATAAAAATTTCCAAAATACAAGTTCGTGATTGCTTCCATCGTATTAAGATTTACTTTATAAACTTTATATTATACGTTTGCCATTTTTAAGGTACTGTATAATTTAAGTAACCTCTTGAAAACCATAAGCAGCGGTTATGCTGATTTAAAAATGTCATTACATCAACGTCAGTCCAATGACTACCTAGAAAGTAAAGCCCTACCAATGATGGCTAAGATGTTTCACCAATCTTAATATATATAAGGAATATAGATTCAGTGTAATACATGATAAACCCTGGTGAGGTAATTTTAAGTGTCTAAAGTTGTTGCGGCAATACAATCCATCATATGGAGCTAATAAAAGTTCAAATCGCAGAGATTCTATCTTTTATCAGTTTTAAGAGCGTCTAACTGTTGTAATTAACTAATAGCATGAAATTACTTAAGGAGGAAGTGGGCAGTTAGCTGCCAAGCTCAATTAAAATGATCGCTCACACTGATCTTACTGAGCCTGGTAATCTAAGAAAGGATAACTTCATAAGACACTTTTCCCGTAATTCACAATCTTCTGCTAATACCAAAATCTCAATAATAAACAAGCGGATATTTCAGTGCAAAGCCAAACCATTTGGAGGCTCATGTTCCAAACCACTTTACTTTTTGGTAAAGTTATAATATCATTCACAAACCCTATAAAGCAGGTTTTAGTCATGCTACGCTAAGGATAGTGCGGTGTCACACACTGTTTTGCAAAATGTAACTTTAGTTCCCCTACCAAAAGCTGTTTTTCTATGTCACCCACCATATCATGTCAGGCATGTACACCAACAGCCTTGCGCTCGCACAAAAGATGCTACATTCATATAGAATAACATTACGAAAGCTTATGTTGCTCTTGCAGTTACAGGCTGAAAAATTTCATACTATCACTCAAGGCCTCAGGAGAGGAAGCTTCTGCAGCAGCTTCTTCCATCTCTGATTTTTTCGTTAACCCCACCAGGTAATGCCTCCAAGCACCTCAAATCTGACTATTGATTGCACTCAACACAAAAAACTAGGGAGACTATTAACTAGAAGTAAATACATAGAATGGGACCTTTGCCAGCTGCAGTAATATAGGCAACTGTCGATACCCTCCTCCATAGTATTCAGCTTTAATAGAATTGTCTTAAATCCGTACAAATCTGTTCTTTCAACACACTGGCCATGAAACTTTTAACGTCGCTTCACCCAATCATACAAATACGCTGTCCCCTCTAATTCCCACACTCTGCTCTCCCCCACTCCCCATCCTGTTCCAACCCGATTTTACCTGGGAGCATAACATATCAAAACCAAACATGAGCAAGCAAGACCTTGGGTGAGTATGAGACTGTTCAGTGGATAGGAACGGCGGGATAACGAGGAGCCACTGTCGAGCTCGGAGCCCTATTATTCTAAAATTATCACTTCAAATAATTATCAACCATTTCTCGAAAACAAACCCCCCCCCCCTAGAATAAACTCATCAATGGAGATCCAGTGTCACCCCTAATGCAACTCTGATCTCTCAACACACCTCTCTGCCCATCCTCCTCCCCACCCCCGTCTGTCCCTTCTCTTCTCGTCACTCACTCCTCACGCTCTCCCCGCATCCTGTATAAGTTCCATCCACCGCCTCCCCACAATGTCACTGGGACGTCTTCCGATCTGCCGGGGTTATTTAGGAGGCTCTTGTCCTCCTCATACCCACAGGCTATCAATGTTCATCTTCATTGCCGCATAACCATTCCACACCGCCCGGCTCCGAATATGGTGACCGCGCTTCCTCTCTGTTTTCTCAGTGCAGGTGGCGCTCTGCTCGGAGCTTCCACAAGGGTGCCCAGTTCTTCCCAGGTCTAGAACACTTAGAGACTCGCTTCTTTATGCTCCCCACCACTCACATTCCACTTTATCAGGGTGAATTGAATCTTCAGCCAATAGACTCGACCAGCTGTCACATTTTAAAGCTAGTATTTCAATCTAGAGCCTGACAAGCGAGGGCCAATGATCGCAGAATACCGACCTCGGAATGGTGCGGTCAAAGGCACTATTATAGCTATGCCAAATGCTCACTGTTGGAACGGTCAGCTCCCACATGGAAGGCCAATTTGAGAACCACTAAATGCGTTTAGGTTGTGGTTAGGCAGGGACACTGACGGGTCCCGTGGGTGTTAACCTTGGAGTATTGCATCGTGGTTGGATATAAGGTTTCCATTCCTCGTAAGAATCTTTCTCCTCTGGAGATTTGCATTACTCACGTGAGAGATAATTCTCTGCACTTATACGTAGATTTCTTTGGGAAGGGAGGGGGGTCAATATAGATTTGGTAGAGACATCCCACAAACAAGCAGGCAAATCAGCAAACGCAACTCCAGAAGGGTCACCATAAAATATGTCATTCCAAAAAGCTCTTTTCACGTGGCAGCAACATGCTCAGTGGTCCATGAGGACGAGTTAAACGGAAGCGATGGAAGCTGAGCCATACAACACTTCTATCACACAATTGGGCTCTGAGTTAGCCAAATTACGCAGCCCCTCTCTCGCTGAGGTCTTAGCTCAGCCTCACAAAAATTGCCAGGGCACCCCGGACTTGGTTCTCGTCATACATGATTAGCGTAAAATTCCCAGTGTACTGCTCATCTGATTCTAAACCATCAAAACACAGTCTGGTAGTTGAATTTACACACTGGCAATGCCCAGGTGTATAAGTGATAAACCAATTAGCGTGGCATAGGAGTCAAGAATCAGATAACAAATGTACTAGAGCCCTCCTGGGCAGATGCTGAAAAAACACACTATGTTAGTACCTCTATAGTTGCAAGCTACAGCCTACCCACTCTGTATTTCACTGCTTATAAAAAGGAGAAGCTAACGACAGTCTTTTTTCAAACTCATCCAACATGACCTAAATAAACTTATACTCAATAGATCTATGTTTGTCCTTTTGAGCATCATTTTAACAAGGGCTCCTCCAGACCTAGGACCATAAGTCCACACAAGACAAACTGGTATAAATAAAACTTTGAAGCAGCTTCAAGATATAACACTAGAAATTCTAATCATCACTACGTAACCACTGCGAGCCAAGCCCCAAGAAAATCACATGCTCTCTACAGCTATTCCGAATTGATAGGCAGAATCAATAAAGAAACTAAGCTAATCCTCCTTTCAGTAGACCATACCATCAATGGCTGGGCCAACACCCACTATTCTGATCAAACTCCAGATTTGCATAAACCAGGGGCTTTGTGTTAATTATTAATGTTCGGGATCCTCATCCAAAGCCCCAAGATACCCTCTGTGTAATTCCTACTGCACTATCTTATCAGTACGTTATGTTTTTTACGATGCACACAATATATTCTAACCTAAATACCAGAAGCCACAGTATAAAACCGTAGCGCATAGATAATTCACGGTGGGACTAATCCAACATTCACCCATCTTATCTAAACATGTACGCTTTTTTTGAAAAGCTTATTTCTACTTCAAGTTACTATCTCTTGTCTGGAGAGTGCAACTGCCATCAAGTGCTGCAAAAAGAACTAGACTTATCCTGCACAAGCGGACAGAGATATGGCCAAATTAAAAGAAAAAAAAAGGTAATATAAGATCATAATTAAATTATTATGGTAAATTATACATATCAATATGACTATTTTTAATTCCCTTCCATATTAAATGTAACATATCTATATTATTAATATATTATCCATATTCGATATGTCACATTCACTTTCCACTATAGCCTGCCTTCTCACTCCTCTGCTGTCTCTCTCTGTTCGGACTGATAGATAAGCCATCTGTTATGACATTACTGCAGAGTTGGACCTTCCAGCATGTATGACTGAAATGGCAAGCGCGACTCAAAGCAGTCCGTATGCCCAATCCACCAGGCGGACACATCACATATCTTTATTCCCAGATACAGGTTCATGAAAGACCGTAGCCACTCTCATAGCTGTATGTGCTGCAATGATGACAAAACGTCAGGACTTATCCCAGCATACGCTTTCAGCATCGATAACCCTATTAATATTTTCCATTTGAATGTGTCATTTAATAATACATAATCATAAAACCATATATATCCTTTAAAGAAAAATCTACTAGCTTGCCTATAACTAATAACTTGAAATAAAATATAAAACAACACAGATAGTGTTAGGCAATCTTTCTAGACATGACACTAATTTTAATCTTATTCTCTTCTCCTTTTGACTCTCTGCTTCAGGTCTTTCTCAGAAATCTTACTAATACCATCTTCAAACAAAGTATAACGCGATCCCTCCCTTTTGGAATTAATTTCAAAGATGCTTTAACCTTGTCTTGGAAATCAAAACTTCGTTACCGTACGTAATACCATACCTAAGAAGCGAGGAATTACATCGGTCCTGTTCCATGCCCAAATGGATCTTCAACGCTCTTTTTCCGTTTCACCAGCAGTGCCTAGATTATAAAGCTTTGCTTGAGCGCTACTACAAAAATACTCCCTAGTTAACCTCCCCACAAATAAATCCCAGCCATGTGCAAACCTTAAGAAAAATTGCGAAGTCTAGTGTCAAATACCGAGTGCAGTAGGACCGCACCCTTCAATATGTGAACTCCAAGCTTTTCCCCTCCATGCAGTCTGGTAGTGACAGGGCTCTATCTCAGCCGGAGAGTATGCATGGTCGCGGCAGACTGCTGGTTTGACTCCACGTAACTAATGGCATGGAAGAAGCCAGCCGGTGGATGGTGGGGGGGGTCGTGAGGGGTGGGGGCGTTGTCTTAGGAAAAGTTCAATAAAACAATCTCACATGGGGGAGGGGCCCCAGACAGAGTGCTGGAGAGGGGCCTTCAGTTAATTTCAGTACTTGATCCCACACCCTTGCCTGTCCTTTTGACTGTTCCCACAAATATTTGAAGTGTGGTTGCTGCAACAATGCAGAGGCCCCTGAAATGGAGAGCAGAGCAAACAGAGACTGGATGGGTCCAATGTTTGTCTAAAGTCTTAATAAAGCCACACTCCAAAGTACCATTGAAACCAAACAAACAGGAGCTGGTTAAAGGCACACAGAATGGCAATGCCCTGCAACAAAGTGTGGCATGGTTCACTTCCTCTCACATCACCTCAAAGTATGTTTGTGACAACAGGTTTGAGACCTTCAGCTTCACAAGTGAGCAGTTCACCCACACACTACTGTAAGGCCATGTGTGACGATTTGAATCACAAATATTTTTTTTAAAAGAAGCAGTTTTCCTGAGTGAGATGTGCAGGAAGAATTACTACTATGTAAATTGTACGGTTGTGGAAAGCCTACACAAATGACTACTGTGCTCACTCACTGTCGCCCTGCAACTAAAATAGGATGGCAGAGAGGCCTGGGGGTGAAGAAATACATAGCTTCCCTTCTCCAGCAGATCTGGGTTCCCACACCAACTCCAGCTGGACTTAAATCCAACAATTATTTCAATCATCTCAGTACAATATCCGTGCCAGAGGAAGAAACAGGAGTGTCGTGCAGCTGGCCAACCTCTGGGAAGCAGAGGAATCGGTATACACCTCCTCTCTGTCATTTTTAGGGTCATAGTCTTCATCCTCATACATGTCATCCACATCAGGCTGGTCTGAAATAACAGTGTGGTCTCCTATGGAGCAAAGTTTGCTCATGTTCTCCTTGACCACTTCACAGAAAGGCCTCTCTACCCCATCGCAAACACAGCGGTTCAGCAGCACGCCGTTTGGGATGAACAGCATCTGCTGAATGGTGGCTTTGCACTTGGAGGAGCACTTCCTGCCGTTGAACAGCTGCCCGCAGTATGACAAGTAGGCCGTGAGGGAGGTGTGGCAGTTGCTGTCCTCCTCGCAGCGCTGCCGGGCCTCCATGCACCCTATCCCGCCGGCGTCGCTCGGGTGTCTGCGGGGGAGACAGGGCTCTATGGCCCGCTTGGCGCTGAGGCACTCAAGGTCCTGGGCGCAGTCGCAGGTCTCCAGGTCTGGCCCGCTGCGGGTGTGGTTGAGCCGTATCAGCGCATTGATGCAGTGGCTCGGACACTGCCTCCTCGTCCCCCTGATGTTGCCCTCACAAGCTGCTATGTATTGACTGTACGCAAGCTCGCACTCGGGCTCGTCGTGGCACCGAAGGAGCGCCTGCCAGCAGATTAGCTGGGCATCTAAGGCCACCAGCACCCATGGGAGAAGTGCCAGGGCGCTGCACCAACATTTCATGCTTGGATGGAGTTCTAGTTCGGTGGCGTGAACTTTCTCCTCCAGCACATTAGGATCAGGACGATTTACACATTGAATCTCTCAGACTGAAGTTCACAAGAATTCCATACATGGGGAATACACTTTATAAATGATCCACGAACTTGCACGTAAGTTAAGTTCTCCTCCTCCTCCTCCTCCTGCGGTGATCCTCGCAACAGGATCTGACTCAGGAAATTCACCACGCGTGGCTCCAAGACAGAGAGACAGCGCAGTAACAGTCATTCCGGGAAGCACGTCCGTCCAAAAAGTGGGGACTCGTACTCCAAAGTGCAGCCTGTGTGTGCTCCACGCCGCCGGTGCAGATCCGAGGTGGACATTGAAACGCGCCGCAGGGCTATCCAGAGTTAACCACAGTTATTGTCCCCAGCTCACTTTGTACACTTGAACTCATCTCTTCTTGCCATTGTTGGTTTCGACTCCTCTTCCCAGCTCTACCACTTTTAACATCCATCCACGCATTCCGGTGTTTTTGTTTTTTCCCCCCCCTCAAGTTGGAAGAGGTTTCTATCTGTCGCAGTTCGTCCCGCTATGTGCGTCTTTGTCCCTCTCCTTGCTGTTACGCTTCACGGTCCGCCGAGCATTTCCCCACAACACCCCTCCTTCTGTCGAAAAAAAAGAAAGAAAAAGTTTTCCTTCCCCCGTCTCTCTCTCTCCCTCTCCCTCTCTCTCTCATTTACCATCCTGGCCACCGATTGGTCGTCATTGAGGAGTCAGCCGTGGGACCCATTTCCAGGCCTGCAGCCGCACAGGCTCTGCAGCACAAATCCTCTCGGTACATGATGAGATAGGCTGGTCGAAAATGTTTATGATTTAACTTGCATGAAACCCAGGATCTGTGTGGTCCCCTCTTTTCTTGTAGCAAAACACAAGTGGAAAGGGGGGCGGGGGGGCTTGCAAAACGCATTCCTTTGCAAGAAGCTCACATCTGCAACTTCACTGCTCCAATTTTCAGCGCGCACAAACAAATCTGTTCCTTTTTAACCATAAACAGGGCAGGGGGGAACCTCTGTGATAACTGCCTCTGTCGTTGAGGGTTTTCACTTAAAGGTTCTCGCTAATTGTCGCTCTTTCCTCCTCTCTCTCTGCCCTGCCTCTCATTCTGCAGAGTTTGTAAGGCCCCGATTGATAGAAAAGAATGGGAGAGAATAGTATTTTCTGGCCCGTTTCACCCCGATTGTGTCAGATTGGCCATGCAGTAGCCCAGTGTCTTTCCAGGCTGCAGATTGTCCACGCACTGCGGCCTATCAATAGAGAGGGGTTCCAGCATCAATATATTTTACAGCTATCCCCTTTCACACCACACTTGAAAACTACCAATAGCCCAGGCTTTTCTGCCATTGAAATGGTAACTAACTAGATTTTTTTTTCAGGTCTGCCCCCACTGAGAAGCAGTGCCAGTTTTGCACAAACTCCACAAAACCAGATGGATGCCAGAACTGAGATCAGTTCAACACAGTATGACAGATAGCTGCTGGTAAAACTGCAGTTCAGTTTCCAAAACATGCACAGAGTTGGCGTTAGACCTACAGTACACATACATATATAACCAGGTGGACAAAATAACAGAAACATACAGTAAAGCACTCTATCACAACACTGCAAACAAGAGCTTCCAAAATAACAATGAATACAATTCTGTCTTCCACTCTCAACATAATTGTCCCACAGTAGTGTTTTTATAGGACTGTACTGTATTATTTTGTTTCTTCTGTATTCACCTGTCTACATACATACACTCAGCTGCCACTTTATTATGTAGCCTACACATGTAAAAGCTATTGCAACTTAATACAACGGCTCTGCCATAAATTCTGTCTCTGTAGTTGAGTTGAGTTTTTGTTGACATTGTCATGTGTCAATTCAACTATGTAAAACTTCTAGTCTTTATATGGGACATGCATCTATATAGGGTAAGCCTTTAACTCCTTTTGCCCAAAACTCTTTCTCAGCAAAGATGGGCAATAACATCAGATTGTTGATTTAAACTATTATGAATATTACATATAAATACATATAAATAACAAATCATTCATTTGATAATTTCATACTTTGTTGCTAACGGTTTCCATAAAATGAATTGATTGATTGAATTGTGGAGAATCTAACGACGTGTAGCATGTCCATATTGACAAAAGTTTAAACATTAGATTTGTGTAGACGATCTAAGCAGCTTAGAACTCGCTCAAGTGGGCGACATAGTGGACTTTGAAGAGGTTTTATACATCCAAAGAAATTCTTTAAACCTGCGTCTCATTGAGACCCTGCTTTCAATTGAAGTTTTACAATATATGTTTATTATTGAAGTCATAGTTAAAGCTGGTTTTGTACAGCATTATATTTTTCAGGTGTTTCCTATAAGGGGGTAGAAACACCTTAATTGAATGCAGTCTAGCACACCACCACTAACTATGACATTGTACAATGGCACCTAAAGTGGCCTCTACAAACATGCATGAATTGTATGTGGATTATTTGACTCATTCTGTCACTGCACTGTGCCACAGAATGAGGATGTTTTCCCTAATCAGAAATGCTAAATTGTATCATTTATCTTTGAATACTGACTAAAGCATCCCATTATTGACTGTCAGTGATAATCTATCAGCCTCTATCTGCAGCCTCCCTTGTGGATGCCTCTGTAGTTGTGAGTGTATTTTTGTCTCCACCTGGTGTTCTAGTTGCTGCAAATGTAAGACTACTGACACATCATCTCAGACAGCTGCTGCACAAGCAGCTCCTGTGCAAAAATCACACAGAACAGAGAGGAAGTTTGTTATCCTAAAAATCAGTTTATTGCAGTTAAAACTCAAAAATCACTGAAATACTTTTGGAGACAGAATGATAGAGATACTGTGAAACAAACAAAACAGCCAGAGAACTAGAAGAAACTGCGTGTCGTGGCAGCCATTTCCTGATAAATCAGTTCCACAGGATGACAACACAAAAAATACATTTGTATATTATTACTATTATTATTATTATTGAGTTATTGAATTATTATTTCAAGTCACACACACTCATACAAAGCAAACAGCTTGCTTTATGGCTTCTGTTCCACCCATTTATATTGTCTCATGATCAAACATGACAGATTCTAGTAGCTCTATTATAAAAGGACTTATTGCAACTTTTCCTCTGCTTTATATTATTTAAATGTTACGAATATACGGCTCATCTATCACATGACAATAACCACTATACTGAAAATGTTTACGTGTAGCCTCAGTTTTCATTCAGCAGTAGTGTGGCACCTACAGCATCTTGAAACAAACAGTCAGTATCTTTTTGTCCTCATTTCCTCTAAAATCAAACGTTTATATGTGAGATGAAGACTTGTATAATCATAAAGTACCCAAAGAATAACATGTTTCGGCAGTAGAGCTATAACAGGAATCAGAGTGGGGACAAATATGAGCTGACATCATCCTCCGCACCACTGCTACATAAAATCAAACACTGGCAAAATGTAGCGTATATGGATTCAACACAACATCAACATCATCCCCTCTTGATTCGCCCACACCTTCACTTACACTCGGAAAGAAAATGACATAGACAGAATACCGAGTTACGCTGTAAGCCCACAGTGACCATGTGCTGTGTAACACTGTGACCAGCACTCTCAGCCACAGGACCAGTTTAGCTTTGTTTGTTTTTTTTTTGTATTTTTTTTACAAAGACGCCACTTAACATGTCACGTTGTCTGAACAACACAAATCCACCAGCACAAAACAGCACCACTGAGACGCAGGGGGTCAATGAGATGGAGGACAGGTCAAGGGTCATGTGAAGGTCAACAGTACTACACGACGCAGCGAGTTGATGAAAACAGAGGGAAGAGCAAGCCGCTGTTGACAGTATAGGCAAACAGCAGATACATTTACATCTTATACAACATAAATATATGTGGATTTATACGCACACCGCAGTTACACAGGTTGACATATTTGTGCCATATCCTTTACATTGGTCGAAGTGTTTTCAACAAAGGCTTTGGCATATGACTTCTAAAGCATTTAAGTTGATCTAATCCGAACAGCTTTTTTTTTTTTTTTAAAACCTCTGGATGCATCACAAAGACATATATGCTCCCCGTGTTCTTGATAATGATGCTAGGTTCAGTTTGGGAGCACAATTATTGTACACACTTTAAATTCTTACATCAAATAAAATGCAGCAAATCTATCATATCCTGCCCTTAAGTGAGACATAATATCTGCCTGCTCACAAATGTTTTGTTGCTTTTAATTAAAAATAAGAAACAAACCAACAAGCAGGCCTGTCTTTGTAAAAAGTAGCTGACAGATGTTGGAGCTGTAGAGAAGACAACCTTGTACGGACGTCCAAGGCACACTGAAGTACAGAAAAAGCTTAAAATAAAAAAAGAAGCCTTTTCTAAAGATATGTCTCGGAAAAGATTAAAACTAAGATTAATCCAGCTCACAGGGAGCTTTCATCAGGGTGCCAGGGGGCCAACATTAGTAAGCTACTTATGGCAAAAATCAGCCTCATTTGTTGCTCTAAATGAATATTGCCTATTTCTAAGATTTTGTGCTTTTGTACGTGGAATATAAATAACCCCACAAATGGCTCTTTCATTTTATTTCTCCTAAAATAAATTACCCAAATTCAACATAACCACCACACGTATGGCATATGAGCCCAGTGTGTACGTGTGTTTTCCTTCCAACTGAGCAGCTGATCTCAGTGATCCTCTCTCGGTAAAAGGTGCACGTGTTCATGAGTGAAATCATCTGCTGTGTGTTTGGAAGCAACGGAAACCTGCACACACACACACACACACACCTGAGACCTCTGCTGCAGAATCATATTGTGTTATCTCTGGTCACGTGAGGTACAGAGAGCGAGGGTTAGGGAATGCAAGGAGTAAGGGATTCAATAGGCTGATCTTTCTCAGAGGAGGAGTTGCTCTAAAGGCAGAAGTAACGTCATTGGTTAAATATCAACAGGAGGAGCCAAACAACTACAGTCTTTGTGCCACTAAGCTAATTTTAATAAAAATATTTATGACATTCATCACTTTTGAGACAAAACTGGCTCACCTAGATGACACTGTGGCAAGAATTATTTCTTTTCCAGTTAGTAAGACGAGCCCCAGGTTTCATAATATCTTCCTCATCTTTTACTTTTATTTCTGCTGGGCCTCAGACTAACTTTGCACAGCTAGAAAAACTGTTATTATGTGGCTCTGCCAACTGACATTCCACCCAAGCAACAAGAATATTTCTACCTCCAGAGCAGCTCTGCCTTTAAAAAATATTTGTACAAGTAAAACTCTAATCTTCTGGGATTTAGAACTGGCCAAATCACATGAGACTGCAATTCTCCGTCTGCTTTTTGAGGTCTTCCAGTGTGGCCTGGGCTTTGTCCTTCAGCTGGTCGATGTCCACATTCTGGATGTTGGACAGCTGGCCCAGCACCGACTGCTTGTGCGTTTCCTCCTGGTTGTCCTCGGCGATCATCTTGGCCAGCTCTGTGGGCAACACCACATCGTCCCCTGCCTGCTGGATCTGGGTCTCATCCATCTCGTTCTGAGGTAGATGCGCATGCATGTCCATGTGGAAACACCCAAAAGGACAGGAGAAAGAAGGACAACAAATTTAGAGGGCTGTACTTTATAGAAATATCGTACTTGGCTGCAAGAATTTTGTGGATTTTACAAAGGCAGTGATCCTGTTGGAGACAGTCAGTCCAAACATGCATTGTCTTTACTTTCAAAAGCAGAGCTGGATTAGTTTACCTTTGGTAGTCTGTACTTGTCCCGGAAATGACTTCTAACTGTGGCTCTCTCAGCTTTCTTCTGGGCAAAGCTGGCTTCTCGTTCTTGTCTGTGAGAAAGGAGGATAAATAGTATTTTGGCAGAATTTTCTCAGTGCCACTGAACATAAAGATATTCATCAACTCAAACCAAAGCTGGCTAGGAAATATCTTTTTTAATCAACTGTGTCACTTTCAGCTGTGGAATAGCAATGCTAACTCCAAGCAGCACACATTTAAGCCCCATATATTATCTGAAAATGAAGAAAATCAATGTTCATTAGTGCCATGTGCAGTTGCATCTCTGCTTTAAGAGCATCATGGGGCTCCTACTGCATCTGGACCTTGGAGGTCTTGGAGCTTAACGTCTTAACACTAACTACAGAGTGTAGAGCCAGCAGAAGGTGGAGCAGCAGTGGGTAGTGTTGGGGGGGGGTTCAGGAAGAGACGTTCTGTTTATGTTGAGGAGCCCCAGATGCGGCATCCTGTCAGTCCAGCACTCCTTTGAGGGAATTCAGTCCTCTTGGGATGTGGGCTACTAGGGGTAACCTACTAACTGCAGACTCATTACCGCTCCCCCACTTTTACAACTGTCAACCCCATAGCCTACATTTCCTGGACTTGTCTCACCCTAGCTAGTATTGCAGTGTGCTTCCTAGCAGCACCTACATTGCTGCTCTTTAGGTTGTTTTCATCTTTTAAGGTTGGAAACCCTCACAAGAGCTTTCTAACGGTCTTTGCAAAATGGGCAGTTTGAGGCAAACCATCTAAGAAATTAAAGATGACACTCCAACCATCTTGCTTGAGGTCTGACCCTGCACACAGATAGGTATTTAGGCATTTCTACAATTCTACATCTGTCTCTGAGAAACCAACGGTTGGAAGATATTTATCTGTCTGTTTATCTATCAGCCTCCAGTTATTTGTTTCTTAAAACTCACTCTTGTGAACAATACAGCCGACAGTATGCAAGGCCTCCAGCAGAGGGCAGGCAGTAGGCTGCTGGCTATGCTCTCTTCACTCAATGTCACTGGAATATTTACGGCTTTAGTGTAGTTCATAATTGCCCCTCATAAATTGCTAAATTTGCTCAAATGCCTCTAACATGAGTCAACAACATGACATAATGCTTAAACTTGCTCATATGGCCTGAGGCAAAACATGGCATGAGTACAGTGACAAAAGACCACATTTTATTAGAGTTAGTGAAATACAGTAGGTGCTTATGACAAAATCAACTCTTCAAAGCTACAGTGGCAGAGGTTGCATTGTACGCCTGAAAGGATCATATCAGCTGCATAATCTAAAGGCGGGGGGACACTGGAGGACCATGGGCATGGTTTGCAAAGTGTTTGTACCCAATGTGTCAGGGGAAGGTCGTTTTATCTGGAGATGCAGCATTCATGGTGTTGTCCGTGTGAGCCGAGTTCACTTTGTATTAACATGAACGGGCCAAACACCAAATGGCACATAGGCCCATGCGGCGCACACTTGCGGCCAATGAGCAGAGCTTTGTGTCTTCCCCTCTCAAGGGCATCAGATGACCAGGGTTGTCACTGTGGCCCGGGTGCTGAGGGTGATAAAATGTCTACATGTGACATGTCAGTGAGAGAAACCCAACCGCCCCCCCCCCCCCCCCCAACCTTATTCTGTTTTAATCTGAGCAGTATGGGCTTCTCAGAGCTCATGTTTAGCACCTCTGACTAATAACTCACTTCCACTGAAGGTCACATAATGACGGCAGAGCATTAAGCATCTCGCCATGCCTCCTGTAGAGCTCAGTGGGCTGAGCTGAGCGTTAATACTGCCAGAGTTAGGACTTCACTTCCCACTCACACTTAAAATGTCTGCACATGGTGCTGTGAGGCACTTTGGATAAAAGTGTGCATTAAATGTGTCTATGCTGATGAGCCAGTGATTGGAAACAATTGGATAATTCTGTTTTTATAATGTATGCTCGCCCAGGGAACCAGCAGCGCTGCTTTAGATGCACTGTAACAACTGAAGTTATTCCATAATATCTATCTATTGTAACTTATTCTATGACCAGGACAGAGAACATCTGACATGGGATGTGGAGTCCTCCTCTAGGGAAGCATCACACTAATGAATCATGAGTTACTGTCTGCTGGGTGAACTCTGTTTGGCAAATGACCTTGTTGTTACCTTATGCTGTCCTCCAGCGGCTCAGGGGATAAACACCACAACAAATATGTAAATTAGGACAAATTTACATTTAAAGAATTCACTTTTGCAAGTGAGACACAGAGCAAAGATTGAAATGACAGAAGCAAGCATGACAAAAGGTGCTGTATATGTATTTATAAAAATATGAGCTAAAACACTAAATTGGAGATATATTAGAGGCCATACTATTCTATATTCTATTCATACTATTTAATCAGCTGTAAATGTAATACATTTTTCCAATTTTTCGATAAATCTTGAGTAGTAACATATGAATGATGAAAGTCGGCTAAGAAGCCCAAATGAATTAACATTAGATTATGTTGTTGGATGTTTGCCCTCTGATAATATGGAGGTCTTACTTTACACACTTTATTTACCACACAATCTGATTCATTAGTCAGCCCAGCAATAGGAACATGTTTCGCCCCAGGCATGAATCCCTGTAGACATTTCCATGGAAGAATGATTACACCTAAACCTAAATTAAAAAACAGCGCTACACAATTTGTCGAAGCTAAGAGCCAGAGAGCTCCCTGGGCGAGAGGAGCAGCTGTGTGTGGAGCGCTCACGTTATTGCATTGATGCGTAAAAGAGCGCACGGCGCACTGGGAGCGCTCTGCTATTTACACTCTAAAAACGCACAGTTTAAATGATGCCATACTGCCGCGGCTTTCCCCACACATACTGTAGGTTTTCATTACAACTTGACATTCACAAGCTTCAATCATTGCCTTACTTTTCCTCCTCTAACTGTTGCTGATACTGTTCAAATTCCTCTTGAGTCATCCCCTGCGCGGCGGCATCTGATTTCTCCGCTTCGGGTTTCTCCTCCGTCAGTCCGCCTGTCAGGTTCTTCAGCTGTCCTCCCACCACGTGTTTTACCATGAAAGCCATGGCTGCGCCTCAGAGAGTCCCCTGTTTGATCGGCTAAGGAGTTGAGGGCTTGCTGCGCTCTTGGATGGAGCGGTGACGGTGGATAAGTATCCGCCAAATGACGCTTAAACCAAACGTTTGGGAGTGTTGCACAGGAGCCTGTAACTTTCAAAGGCTCGATGGGAGCAGTCAAACCGGGGAAAAGAGACAGAATTAGTCCAACGGCGCGTCGGAAGCTGGCAGTTTCAGCACCACTGGCCCTGGACAGCTCCGCGTCGTGAAGGATGGAGAGGAGATGCTCAGTTATGAGTCAACAAGTTTGGCGCTGAACTCTACCAATCCTGTGACTCCGTCCGCAGCCACCACTCCCTCCGCCCAATCCCAGGCACCGCCGGACTGGGTGTGCGCTTGCACGCCGCGCGTCGGCATCGTGGGCTGCTCCCTCCCGTGATTCGCCGTCTGACGATAACTCACGATGGACTCCGGGAGGGATAAACAACACGTGACAAGCCTCAGTGTCTCCTGGCTGTTTTGGTGCCTCTGTCTCTCTCAGGGTCATCTGCGCGCTGGAGCCTAACGCACAGTTTGTCAACACACAAAGAGTTTCCTAATTGCAAATTAGTCAAATGGCTGTCCATTAACCCACGGCATCAGTTCGGTTTATTGGCCTAATCACTTAGAAATGATGAGTGGCTGTCTTCTTTAGTGAGGTTTGTTTGACGTAGGGGAAGAAGCTCATTTTCACAAGATGAGAGGAGGCTGAAATGATGGGGCGTGTGCAGTGTGCCAGTAAATGCATCTCTCAGTCTGAGCACATCCTCCATGTGCATTTAATCCCCTTGTAAATATTCCTTGTCCCTAACATTCAGGAACTGGAGCTGACAGCCTAAACCTTTACATTGTGTACACTTGTGTCTGTAATGCCAGTGTCTTGTGCTTATTAGGCCTCCTATAGCAGGATTTTCTGTGCTACTTCCTCCTTCCTTCTTTATGTGTTTGATGCTGTAGGCGGGTGAATAGTTCAACTTTCATCACCAGAAAATATAATTTATTAAGAGGCTGGGTGCTTCTGGATGACACTGTGTGACGCAGTGTTCAGCTGGAAAGCCTCACTTCTAAAAATATGACCTGAGTGTGTGTGTGTGAGAGAGAGAGGAATATTTTAAATCTCTCTCTCTTTGAGGTTCTTGACATCCAAAGTGTGAAAAGGAACTTTGATTACAAGTCAACAACTCCGGCGTCCTGATCCTCGCAGCAGTCTGACACCGAGCCTGGCCTACTTTCCCGGTCCCTGTGGATCAGGAGAGACGGAGCACGTCTCAGTGTCTTTTTGTCACAGGCTTAGCGGGGCCCTGTTAGCCTATACCTGGCTTGCTTTTAAATCTCTCTCCAACTTCAAAGCTGCCATCGGTGAATAGATTGAAACGTAACGCAGTGAATAAGATCAAGACTGTAATCTCTGTGAAATTTAATAAAAAGAAAGAATTTGCCTAACCAGCATGTTTCAACATGAAATTATATCTTTTCACTTCCGATATTCACACCCAGACACCCGACCAGTTCCCAGCCCAGGTCTCACTCACTTTTTTATGGATTATCACTGTCACTTACAGTCACACTCAATACTTCATATCAAAACCTTTTTTTTAACCCTTTTTGTAAGACAGGGACATGAGTCATGTGTGGAAAAGTGTCTGGTATCACAGGAGTTGCTATTTAATGGTTACTTGTGATACTAGTGGACTAGGTAATCACTGACATCATGGCTGGACAACTGAGCATTCAGATGGAACTGACTGTCAAACCAGTGGGACTAGCCACTGTTGGTTGGCTTAGGTGAGAGTAGGATTCAGACGCATTTTAAATGTATGTTAGGTCGGGGTTATAGACTGGTGTTCCCTGTCAGAGGGCTCAGTGGAATTATGATACCACTGCAGAGCGTAATGACATGTAAATGTATTATTATGAATACTGGGCTTCCATAGAAATACTCACCCAACGTTTGGCACAGTTCATGTTTATTTTTACCTATAAAACCTGCAAAATTCCAATGGATTTCAAAATGGCGTTTTATTCATACTGAGTACATTTGTCAATTGAATAAAAGTGAATGTTTTACATGAAATGAGTGCCTTGTGAAATGTACAGCCATTTCATAGACCATTACATAATATGGTTTCATTTAAGGTTCCACCTTTTTCAAATGATACATAGGTACCAATTTGTAAAAATAAGCTTTGTAAAAATATTAGATACTAAAATAAGACTGATTTCACACTCTTGTGGTTGATGTGTTGCAAGAACAGATCACAATCAGTGAAATTGTTTCATATTAAAGGATGTTTCTGAGTCCTTCACTTGCAAAAGAGGACGCAATTGGCTGTTTTTTTAAATAAGAGCACATGGCAATGAAATTAAATGAAATGAAACTGTCACGGTCAAAAACAGAGAAAAACAACAGCATTACTCACAGTACCTGATTTAAAAATAGGCTCATGTTAATGCTTCCTGGCTCCTGTTTCTGCTCAGGTAATTTTGCTGCGTGCTCTGCTGATTGATGTCTCACTGTACTGTGAAAATTAACGGTTAAGATCTGGCTTTTTACATATATGAAGTATAAGTGCATGCACAGCCTTCACACATATGTTTACTGTAAAAGCCATGCATGATTGCACAGAAGCCTTTCCCTTACTCCATAAACATCTGTTTAATCATCAGAAGTTTTTAGTCCAGTTTTATTAGTCCAAATCCCACTGAAGAAAAACAATTCACATTGTAAGACAGAAAAAGTTTGGCCATTGAATAGACATAAGAAGAATGTTTGAGGCATAAGCAACAAAAGGTCACAGAAGCATGACATACCGTGGTTGTTGTTGTGAGGCAGGATTGATTGCGGCGTGAGTCAATGCAACTGAAAGCATCACGCTGGCTCCCGCCCAGTCACACTTCCTGCCTGGTTACACTTGATCTTTAAGGATTATGAGCCTGTGTGGGATTGGGAGAGATGGGTTTATGTACACCATCACACACACTCGCTGATCCTCAGCAGCCGAGTGTTACACCTTTGTTTCTTTAGACATGGTATGACAAGGGATTAGACTCATCAAACAAATTTGCCCTGCAGCAGACAATATGCACATTCAAGGAGTTTTTTAATTCACACAGGCGGACATGACGCCATTAGCAAGTCACTGGGATGCCTGTCTTAAGGAAAGCAGTGTGTGAGTGGCGCCACCCTCGTGAGATGACAAAATATCACGCTAATCCCATTAGAAGTGAAAAGTGCTCTGTGTACTGGGTGACAAAACTAGTTTTTGTATCAAGAAAGGCCATTTGATAGGCTAATGATTTGGTGAGATTTATTTCTACCTGCATCAGGTCCTCACCAGAGATGGAACAGACAGGTGGGGTCACAGCAGCATGGCACCATATGGTGGCAAGCGAGTCACCCCAGCAGTGGTGGTTTGATGCCCCACAGGCTGTCTAGGAGGTGTTGAATTACACCACATGTCAGCATGGCAACTGTCCCCCCAGCTAACATCAACTACTTTGTCATGAAGTGAATATTATGGCCCTGCAACAGAGCAAAAGAAGACTACTTTTGTTGCCGTTCCATTAAAGGTTACATTTAGGAGGCTCTGTTGTCAGAAATGGAATATAATATTCATAGGTATGTTTTCAGTGTATAATAACCTGAATATAGTAATTTTCAATACCTTTGAATGAGCTGTTTTTATCTACAAACACCTCGACTTCCATGGAGTCCGCCATGTTGAACCGCCATGTTTCTACAGAATACCACATATCACAAGGCACACTTATGCAGCTGCCTATATATATATATATATATTACTGCTGTATTATAGTTAATTTGTTAGATACAATTTTACTTAGCCTCTTTCCCAGCTCGGATGAGGAACACTATTTATCCATTTTGGTATTTTTACACATTTTTATTATTCCTCAACTATCTGGCTTTTATTTTTCCTTTCATATTAATGACTTTAAAAAGGGTTGACATAGGGATGGAGAACTAAAAGGCAAAGGATGTGTTGTGTCGGTCTGCTCTAGTTGTATTTTGAATTCAAGTATGTATGTATTTCCTTCAAATTTAATATGTATACTTTCACAGAGGGGCAGCGGTCTCTTTCAACACAGAAAAAATAAATTTACTGGAAAAAGTGATAACTGGCGACAGGAAGCCAGACTGGGATTTAAATTACACATTGGCATGGTTGGAAGTGTGAAAAGAAGCTGCTAAGAGACACACTCAGCGACAGAATTCACAGCATAAAAATGTGCAGATCAAAAGTGAGAAAGATGAAACACAAATGTTCAGAGAATTGACTGGAATAGGCTGTGAAATTGAGTGTGAACAGAAAAAAGGCCCAAAATGGTCAGAAACATTGCAGAGCAGCTGCCTCCAAAATTGCGGTTACATAGGTCTGGGACTAAACTGCACAAATCAGAAAGACAAGACATCACTGAAATAAATGGAAAGCAAATGCCAGGGGTTTAGCAGATAGGCAGGCTCCTAACGTCTAACCAGGCCACAGTTATTTAGCCATTATTTTATCCACCTAAAAAGAGCAATATTGGTTTAAGGGTATGCTATATTTTTAATATAATATACACAGCTTTACCTTGCTGTCAGACAGCCCTTTCTGACTGGGAACTGAAACCATTATATAGCTCCAGCCACCAAAAAAAGGCTCATCTAAAAAAATTCTATCAGTTTGTCACTATATTTCAAAATAACTGTTTCACCTTCCAGCTACTGTATGCTCTCTTCAAAGCCACCAGGCTCCTTTGATCGGCTAGTTAACACATTAGTTTGGAACTAACCCTTTGAGTCTGGTGGCTTTGGTGAGAGCATATAGTAGCTGAATATAAAGGTTTCAGTTTCCCATCGGAAAGAGCTGTCTGACGCCAAGGCAAAACAGTTATTTTGAAATATAGGGGCACTTAAACTGATACTAATTTTTTTAGATGAGCTTTTTTTGGTGGTTTTAATACTTTTTTTCTGCTGCCCCCATCTGCAGCAGTACATTCTTTAGCTTCAGTACCTGTACTCCTGTTTGCTTCTCTAAACTGGGGGTGTGCAGATTGCCGTCTACTGTGCCTCATACAACCCCCACTTCAAAAAATCTGAACTAACCCTTTAAGAAAGAAATGGTTTTCCCAGTTTGGTGACCTTAACCCCATTTAACACCTTTATGGTTAAATGGACGTCTGACTGATCTCACCAAGGTTCCTGTGGAGTGGGAGCAAATCCCATCCAGGTTTCACAGACTGGAGGCTGTTAGAGCAGTTTATTAATACAAAAATGGTTTTAGAATTAAATGTTCATTAATCAGAAATGTGTGCAATGTTTGGTTGTCCACATACTTTTGGTCGTGTACTGTATTTCCCCCCCAAA